GATTTGGCCCGAACACGGCACCGAACCATTTTCGCGTCACTTCAAAACGCTCCGCGTTCTCGGATGCCTTCTACAAACCCGTTCGATCACGCGGCTAGGATTGCTCTAGTGTTCCCATATCTTGCTTCAGAATTCCATTGTACCACATTCTGTTATTTTGAACCTCGTCATTCGATTCCGCGCTACTATGGTGAAACACTCATAACCCAATACAATACTAAAAATAGCGATTAGGTTCAGAACATTGCGGCATTCATAAATATGCTACGCATCATTAAGATTTACTCACAAATAATATCCACATACTATATCTGATTTACTCACAACTTTTATTCGAAGAACGTAACGTACCCACTACACGTAACCATAAGAAAGACAAACGCAACCCTCCCGACGATTCTCGTCGAGCCTTGTTGTTAAATGCGCTTGTTGCGCTATTTTCGCATGGCGGGACCCCGTTACCCGCCATTATGTCTGTGCTGGTCTTGGTGCTGTCCTTTCGAACCGCACCCTTCATTTCGGACCTGTTCCCAAAGCGGGATCGGTTTCAAAATCGATTCACATTGCGTACCTTCCAACGGCTCCGCGTGTCAAAAACTGGTATACGATTTGTGGTGACACGCCCTTAGTCAACTTCCTAGGGCCCACCTGTACACCTATGCAACGCACGTATTCTGTGCATTGCTATGTTACTGTAATGAAGCGCAAAGAGCATGTGTTTGTCAAAGGATGGAGTAACGAGGAAACAATACAAGTGAGGCAACATCTAAACAGCAAGGATCATGGATATACCTAGCCTAGAGCACACGGTCGTGGCTCGGCAGAGCTGCGACGCGTGGTTCGTAAATTGGCGCGAAGCGCCCAGATCTAGGCATGAAACAGCAAGGCGGGCAAAATGCATGCGGCTCGTCACGAGACCACATTTGGGTTCCGCGATCCGAATTTCGTAGCAGAACAGCGCGGCAGCCCCGCTATAGTAGTGTGCACCTGACCAACTAAAACCCGCGATAAAGAAATACCATTTTCTTACACCCTCCCCCCTCCAAGGTAAGTTCTTAGCTAAGACCGCCGACGTCGCGCACATGCGTGACTGGGGGTAGACTCATAACACCAAGTAATTCTCGATCTGTACTAGGGGCACCCAATTGTTTTCTAGGGCCGTCCGGTCCTTCCAATATATCAGAAACTCGATCAAGCGAGCCCCTCGAGGGTCCTTGATCCGATGGCTGAGAACCTTCGCAGGTTCGACAGTAGGCTCGGCGAGCGGTCGAATGTTCATATTCGCTCAGTGACGTGGTAATTTAGTAGTGCTGGCGATGTATGGTTGCAGTAATCGCACGTGGAATAATGGGCTGACGTTCTAAGTGGCTGGTAACAGTAGATGGGCTATAACGGAAGATATCATGTGGCTGACGGTAAATGGTCCACAATAGCGAGGGCAAAGTTTTGGGATGTTGGGTAGTCGAAGGTTTTCGACTCCATGAAATCCAACTACCGAATCTGTCATGGGTTGAGTAGTGGCTGTGCACGGATGTAGTGTAAGCTTCGATGGTCTGTCCGTACAGTCACGTCCGCACCCCGTCAGGTAGCACCGCCACACCTTGAAGGTTTGCACGATCACGAGCATCGCCTTGTCGTGTATCGGATAATTTCACTCGGGCAGGTGCAACTTTCGTGACTCGTACGCGGTTGGTTGCAGTCCTTCGCCGAATTCCTGTAACAGTACTGCTCCGATGACGATGTCGCTGCCGTCTGTGATCACTTCGAATGGATGGTGAGGATTGGCGATGCGAAGAACAGGGGTTGAGCACAAAAACGTTTTGAGCACAGAGAAGGCAGCTTGCTCTTTCTCCCCCCACCTACTGTATACTCAGACCCTTTCCGCAGTAGGTCAGTTAATGGTGCATTTACCCCCGCCATCTTCGAGATAAATCTCCAGACATAGTTGACTAGCCCTAAGAAACTTTGCAGCTCCTGGAGCTTCTTAGGCGGTTGCCAGGCTTGCACTGCCTCGATTTTGCGCGGGCCCACTTCGACACCCTTAATGGAAATAACGTGTCCTAGAAATTCTAAGCGGTCTTTTAAAAACTCGCACTTAAACCCCTTCGTGAGAAGCCGATGCTCCTGCAGTAGCGTGAAAACTGCTTCGAGGTCCTTTAAGTGCTGCTCCCGGGTCTTGCTGTAGATCAGTATGTCATCTAGGTAGACTGTAACACACTTATCTACGAGCGAACTGAAGTTCTGGTTCGTTGTCATCTGAAAAGTCGCCTGGGCATTAGTCAGACCGAATGGCATAACTACATACTCAAAACTCCCATATCTAGTACAAAATGCAGTCTTGTGATAGTCTGCTGCGACTACGTGAATCTGATGGTAACCCCCTCTTAAATATATTTTCAAGAAGAAGCGAGCTTTGCGAAGTTGGTCGATCAGTTCGTCGGCGCGTAGGATTGGGTAACGCGACTTGATAGTCACCCTGTTCAGTGCTCCGTGGTCAGTGCACATTCGCTACATGCCGTGTTTCTTCGGGGTGAATAGTATGGGAGCGACAAATGGTGAGAAACTAGGGCGGATGCTTTTTTTCTCCAATAAATAATCTAACTGCTACCATAATGATTCTAACTCGGGCTGTGTCAGTCGAAATTGCCGCTGCACTGTGGGTTGTGTCCTCGGTTCTAATTCTATTCGATGGTCGAAGAGTTGTTCTGGTGGCAATCCCTCGGGCAGTTCGTCTGGAAAAATCTGCAGAAATCTACGAATCAGCTGCGCTACATCGGTCAACACTGCTGCTGTCAGCTTCTCTAAATCGGAGGGTTGCGTTGTTGCGTCGACGACGCAAACGACTACAGCGAAGACTTCTGCGCCCCGTGCGACCGATCGTTTGATCGCCACGGAGGTCACCTACGTCACTCCCCCAGTGGTTCTCTTCGTCCATTCTGGTAATGTCACACAATTGACGGAACAGCTGTCGATCGTCCAGTCAATTTTTGGATTGAAACGTCGCAACCAATCCCGTCCCTTCAACATGTCGAAACCGTCAACCCTTGAAGGCTGTAACTGATGAGTTCGATGCTGTAACTGATGTACAGTGGATACGCTCGATTGGTTCTCGAGTACAACTTCTGTCATAGGAATGCGGCCCTTGTTTGAAGAATGAATCCGACCGCTCCGCAACCCTCTTTGCCTCCATTAAATCCGTAATTTCTCTGATTTGTATTTCTCTGCGCAGATCCGGTCGACGTCCCCCGATGTATCTGTCGAATTTCTCGTCAGGGTGAATGTAGCCGACATGGTTGCATAATTTTTTTGAGCTGCTGGTGTAGTGCTGGACCGATCCGAGTTGGCGCCACAAGCGAGGCGGTTGCGTGCTTAACTGCTTGCGTTGACGCGTTCGAAGCGGCGACGAATTCCCGTGCACTACGATTGCCACGTGCTGTACTCGTCCACCTTGCAATAGCTTCCTGCCCAGTGATTGGTCGTGCGAAAACATCCGATCACGCGCGGCGTCGTATCCGACTCTTGCGACTGAATTATCTGCTGCCACCAATCCATTGCCCGTCCTTGTAGGAGCGACACGGCGTATCAGATTTTCTGTGCATCGTCGCTAACGAGGTTGCTGTCGTTAAAAACGTTCAGGTGAAAGATCCACCTGCTGACGGACAAACTGCCATGCTGGCTCGGGTCGAACGTGCGCGACCTCTACATCTTGAGAATTTCCAACGCCATGTTGATGTTTGCAGTTTGCAGGCCTGTTGGAGAAGTAATTGGGGCCAGCAGATTTGCATTCGACCTTTCGCCAACTTCCGCTCGTCCAATAGTCGTTGGCAGGTTGTTCGTCGAACACTCGGGCGAAGCCACATGTGGTTGCTGATTGTCGCCATGTATTTCGGAATGCTGCTGGGTTACTTGCTCCTGTTGTCCTTGGTTTGTCGGTGGTGTGATCCTGTCGTGTCGTGTCTGAGGCAGTCGGCTCCGAAGTGCAGATATCTCAACCGTTAGCCTGGGTCGTTTCAGCTTGCAGACGCGCCAACTCCTAATGGTACAACCGGTGAGTAAGACGGACTTCCTCAAGTGCTGCCGCCCTTTCTTTAGGAGTCATGGCGTTAGACGTCGACGGCTCCACCATTTCACCGAATTTTTTGGCAGCTCTCGCTACGCTGGCACTGCGAACACAATCGTGGCTATAGGTAATTATTAATTAATATTACCAGGACAGCGGATATGCAGTAAGCACAGGGCATCAGCCTCCCTAATAAGTGTCAGTATTGGAGCAGAACTAGAGCGCAAGGCTGAGGATCGTTGGCTCTAATGGCCAGGTGTAATGAAGCGCAAAGAGCGTGTGTCGAAGTACTGAGTAACGAGGAAACAATACAACTGAGGCAACATCAAAACAGCAGGGAGCATGGATATAGCTAGCCTAGAGCACACGGTCGTGGCTCGGCAAAGCTGCGACGTGTGGTTCGTAAATTGGCGCGAAGCGCCCAGATCTAGGCAAGAAGCAGCAAGGCGGGAAAAACGCATGCGGCTCGTCAGGAGGCCACATTTGGGGACCGCGATTTGAATTTCGTAGCAGAGCTGTGCGGCAGCCCCGTTATAGCAGTGTACGTCTTCCTTACAGTTACACATCGTTTTAACATCCTATGACTACAATTGCACATTTTTATGTTGCAACCATAAACATTGCAAGAACCACACTTACATACATCCATTCGACATCACATTGCACGGACGTCAAACTCTTCAGGCGGCAGATCAGGCACCACTCCTGCCTCGCTGCTCATCTCTCCATCATTCCCACCCTGCAACAAGAAGACCACAACCGCTGTGAGACGCCGCACAAGCATCAAGGTTTGGGGGGAATCAGAGCACGTACAGAGCAGGTGCAAAATCCACTGGCTTCTCCCTGTGACAACATCAAACGGAGACTAGGGATTGGGAAGCATGCACCTAGGAAACTGCCCACCTTTCTCTGGGAGGCTTCGGCTGATCGCTGCGGCCAGGAGTTGAGATCGATCATGCCGCCTCTGCCATGGTGCTCCTCCCCTTGCTTCAGCTGCTGTTGTTGCTGCGGCTGCTGGTGGTGATCGTGCTGCTGATGCTGCTGCTGCTGTTGCTGCTGATGCTGCTGCCGTTGATGCGACCATGCATGTGCCTGCTGTTGCTCATGTGCCTCTAGGTCATGTGACAACAGCGCAGGCACCTCATCATCCCCAACCGCTATAGCCACAGCAGGCGCATCACTCACATTACCCATCACCAAACTCCGAGCACCCCCCTCCTCACCACCTCCCTCTGCCCCATCCCCCCCTCGCCCAACCCCCATCCCACCCACCGTTCCAGTACCCATTCCAACCGCTCCAGACCTCAATCCAAACATCCCATTCCCTCCTCCTGCCCCTACTCTTCCTTCCACCGCAACCCCACAGCCACCCTCTCCCCCACTCCCTCCCCCGCCCACATTCAAAGTCAGAGCTTTCAAAGTACCTGTTGCCATCCCGGCCATCCCACCAGACCCACCCCCACCCCCTCCCCCTCCACTGCCCCCTGTCCCTGTCCCTGTTCCCATCCCGGTCCCTCCCATTCCTGTTCCTACCCTTTCTCCGCCTGATCCCCCTTCGCCGCCATTGGTTGGAAGCGCCACGCTCATGGGGGTTGGCTCATAGTCACCTGTTCCTGCCTCCCCTCCCTGCTGCGTGTGCATTACCTCGTCCTCTCCCCCTCTACCTCCTCCTCCTCCTCCTCCTCCTCCTCCTCCTCCTCCTCCTCCTCCTCCTCCTCCTCCTCCTCCTCCTCCTCCTCCTCCTCCTCCTCCTCCTCCTCCTCCTCCTCCTCCTCCTCCTTCTCCTCCTCCTTCTTCTCCTCCTCCTCCTGCTCCTCTTCCTCTGCCTCCCCATCTACCATTTTCACCCACTAATTGACCATCCTCTTCAGCGGCAGCAGCAGCGGCACCACTACCAACACCATCACCAATACCTCGATCTCCCCCAACCCCCCCACTCTCTCCAGTAACCCCAACACCCTCCCCTCCTCTCTGCCACTGGCCAGCCTGCAGACTGCCCTGCCCCGCATTGTTACCCACGTTACCATCCTGCATGTTACCACCCACCATTTCTGCGTCCCCCATGCTACCATCGTGTTTACCACCTGTGGGGTTACCACCTGCCCCAACGTGTACGCCTGGGAGGAGGGAGTGATCCGGAGGCCCCCCACCTGGGGAGGGTAGGGCGGGTTGGTTGGGGTCCTCTACCAGGACAGGGAGGGTCTTGGGGAGCTGGGGGGGGGGGAAGAGGGAAGGGGAAGGGAGACGAGGGGAAGTGGGGGGAGGGAGGGGACAAGTGGAAGGGGAGAAGAAGGGGGAGCGGAGAGGCGTGAGAGTAGGGTGGGTTGGTTGGGGTCCTCTACCAGGACTTTGGGATTCTTTGGGGAGCTGTGTGGGGGAAACGGCTATGGAGGGGGTGGGGGGAAGAGAGAAGAGCAACGGGCGGAGGAGAAGAGGGGAGAGAATAATGGGAAGTGGGACATAAAAATTCTGGTGAGGGATAGGATAGGGGGGTCCTGGGGAGCTGTGAGGGGGAAAGGGGGATGGAGGGATGTGGGGGCCAGGGGTGGTGTGGAGGCCAGGAGGGGAGGTGCTAGGAACCAGGGGGGTTATGGGGAAGGAAGGAACAGACAGAGCTTGACAATGACAGTGCAAGTCTCAAGAGGCAATAAGCACGTCCGTACTACTCTGGATGTCACCTGTTTCTAACCCATTCCCGCGCCCCTCTCTGGTGCATGCATGCATGTGTCTCATTCACCCCGACCCTGTGCCTCAGAGGCGAATCTCTCTCACCTCCACCTGCTGCCCATGAGCAGGTATCGTATCACTCGTGCGCCTTCTTGCCCTTGTGAGCACGACCAGGTGACTATCTTCTAGCTTCTAACTTCTAAGTAACCCCCAATACTACTGGACTCACCTCCACCCGCTGCCCCATAGACGAGGCTCACCTTCACCCGCTGCCCCATAGACGAGGCTCACGTTCACCCGCTGCCCCATAGACGAGGCTCACCTTCACCCGCTGCCCCATAGACGAGGCTCACGTTCACCCGCTGCCCCATGAGCAGGTATCGTATCGCTCGTGCGCCTTGCCATCATTCAACCGTTCATGACCCTTCGGAGTTCCCCCATACATAGTCTCACCTTCGCCCGCTGCCCCAAAGCTGGTCGCTCCCCTACCCCCTAACCCGCTCTCTGCCCCATGGACGAGTCCCACTCACCCCCACCCGCAGCCGCATGAGAAGGTACCGCTCGTGCGCCTTCTTGCCGCCTATGTGCACGTCCAAGTCGCACTGCAGGCAGAGAGACGTGCCATCCACCGCACAGTAGAAGAAGGCTGCAGTGAGGGGAGAGGGGAGCGGCATGGGGCATAGAGGGAGTGAAAGTGGGAGGGAAAGGAGGGAGGGGGGTGTGTGACTGTAGGCACGTCTAAGTCACACTGCAGGCAGAGACGTGCACATCCACCACGCGCAGTAGAAGAACACTGCAGTGAGGGAGGGGGGGGGGGGGAATAGAGAAGGACGGGAAAGATGGAGGAGGAGGAGGAGGAGGAGGAGGAGGAGGAGGAGGAGGAGGAGGAGGAGGAGGAGGAGGAGGAGGAGGAGGAGGAGGAGGAGGAGGAGGAGGAGGAGGAGGAGGAGGAGGTATGGGAGATGGTTAAGGAGCAGTGGTGAGGGAAGGGAGGATGGGCAGAGGAGGGGAAGGGGGGGAGGAGGGGCGTCTGTAGCACGTAGAAGGAACGGTGCAGCAGCCACACAGCAACATAGTCTTTGAGGAGCCTAAAAAATGGCGGTAGCAGGGGGAAGGAGCAGTGGTGAGCGGAGGGAGGATGGGCAAGGGGAGAAGAAGGGGGGGGGGGGGGGAAGAAGAGGGGGCAGGGCCGGCCACAGAAGATGGAAAACGATGGTGGGTGGATGCAGAACAGAACTCTCAAAGCAACCCCCTGAACTTCCCCATTCCTTCTACATACCCTTCCATCCCTTCCCATCCCCTCCCATCCATTCCCATCCCTTCCCATCCCTTCCCTCTTCCCCACCCTCCACATAGTTGCTATCAGCAGTCCTGTTACAAGCAGTCCCACTAACCAGGGGCGTTTTCGCAGATGTCACAACGGGGGATGGCTCGATCCTCAGCTAGGTCCAGGCGCACATGGCGGCTGGCGAGCTTGTTGCAGCCGTGGACCTGTCATTGGGGAGGAGAAGGAAGGAGAGGGGGGGGGAGGATACGGATGAAATAAGGCGATGGAGATTCATTCAGCGTTTTCTGAGAGTCCGCTCGAAATACGCGGAGAGCCGCCGTGCCCAAGGGCGAAGAGCTTTAATCATCAGCCTTAGTAAGAAAGCAGGTTGCGGGAATGTGGTTTTGAGGCGCCTCAAAACTATGGGCTTTGATCAAAAGCCTTAGTAAGAGAGCAGGTTGTGGGAATGTGGAACTCCATGGGAGCGGGGAATACGTACGGGTGGTACTAAGCATTCATTACCTTCACGTGTCATCCCGTGCAAGAGCTACCTTGCCTTTCTTAGAAATGGATGGTGCCAGCAGCTAAGGCAGCCGCTAAGCCAGCAGCTAAGCCAACAGCTAAGCCAGCAGCTATGCCAGCAGCTAAGCCAGCAGTTAAGCCAGCAGCTAAGCCAGCAGTTAAGCCAGCAGTTAAGCCAGCAGCTAAGCCAGCAGCTAAGCCAGCTGCTAAGCCAGCAGTTAAGCCAGCAGCTAAGCCAGCAGTTAAGCCAGCAGCTAAGCCAGCAGCTAAGCCAGCAGCTAAGCCAGCAGTTAAGCCAGCAGCTAAGCCAGCAGCTAAGCCAGCAGCTAAGCCAGCAGCTAAGCCAGCAGCTAAGCCAGCAGCTAAGCCAGCAGCTAAGCCAGCAGCTAAGCCAGCAGTTAAGCCAGAAGCCAGCAACTAAACCAGAAAGGTAAAATCAAGTGGAACCCAGAGACTAAGCTTGCTATGTTTGTGTGTATGTCTGCTAGTATTTCTGAGATCACTGGTGCGTTGGACTCGTGCCGTCGAGCACTATCCTGCTGCTAGGATGGTCTATTTGCTGTTGTCGGCAGCAGCAGGGATAGCCTTTGCATGCCCATTAGCTTGTTGTCTCATTCCAGGCAGAGCACTGCCACGTCTGCAGCAGCGCAGAACACCTTGGCGGGTGCAGCAACGCATACATCACAGAGGATGCGCATGTAAAGTACCCCCATTGCATTAGAGTGAGTAACGGAGTGGCTCACATCGCATCACGTTTGCTACCTTGCCCTCACATCCCCTGCACGAGTTTCGTTGCCCTCACATCACATGCTCTTGTTACCTTGTCAACGTGCCCTCTCATGCTCACATCACATGCTCTTGTTACCTTGTCAACGTGCCCTCTCATGCTCTCATTACCTTGTCATCGCACGCCAGGCAGAGCGCCGCCTCGTCTGCAGCGCAGAACACCTTGGCGGCTGCCGCCTCGCACACGTCGCACAGGATGCGCATAGCTGGCTGCTGAGAGGTAATGCGGGGTGTTGTGCGGTGCTGTGGGATGCTGCCTGCGGCTGCCTGCTTCTTGAATTGCTGCCAGTGAGAGCTGCGGAGGTGGTGAGGCACAGCCTGGTGGTTTGGAGCTTTGGAGGTAGTAGTGTGGTGAGGCACAGCCTGGTGGTTTGGAGCTTTGGAGGTAGTAGTGTGGTGTGGCACTGCAGACTGTTACTGCAAGCGTGGCGTTGTCCCCACGAGCGCTTTGAGCTTGAAGCTTGAGTTAAGTACGGACTGAAGAATGGTTGCTTGTCTGTTAGTAGGAGTCCTCCTAGCGTTAAAGCCAGGAACCGAAATCTCCTCTCAAGCGTCAGACGCGAGTGCGCGTCACAGGCGAGTGCTGGTTAGAAGCAGTGCACGCTGGACGGGCCATGCACAGTAGTGAAGAAGGAAGCTTGCCTGAAAGGCTAGGCGGGGTACTACAAGTAAGGAGTAAAATTAGCGCTCCTACGACTCGGAGGAGAGACCGGGAGGTTCCGAACGAGGGAATAAAGAGGAGAGCACTAGTATACACAGTGCATTTTAGTAAGTGAAGTATGCAGGGGAGAATATTACTACTAGCAGCTAGAACGCCGGCCAGACATTCACACATCGAGCAGGAGTAAACGGAACCTCGTGAGTCGTGTACGCGTTATAAGCGGCACTGACTGTCGGATTCCCTGGCGCTCATGATGGTGAATCTGCCAGAGCATTCCGGAGCATTCCTGATCGCATTTCTTGTCGCATTCCTTGTCGCGCTGGTCGCAGTGGTCGCATTCTTTGGTCTCATTTCCGCGCGACGTGGCGATCGCAAGTGTGGGACGCCTTGTCAGGGGTTTTCTTTCAGTGACACAAAACGCGGAATCCGGAATTCTTCCAGGCTGTCAAGCCGAGCGCAATGCTCGCATTGACGCGCCCTAAAACCGCGTGACCAGGACACCCGTGAATCAATTTCGGGGCCACTGCACGTGAGTGGGCATTCTTGGTGTGTACTACAACACGCTCCTAGGCTGAAATCGGCTTCCACTGCACCATTGCCCGATGCCCAGTCAATGTGGATCACTTGACGTGCAAGGACAAATTCCACCAGGCAATGAGGAGGACGAGACTAGTGGTCTAGTCTACGCTGCCATTGAGAATGACGTGGATTCACGTGATGGCTGAGCTGTACAGACGCTCCGCAAGGAGATTTCGATAAATTCGGGTAGGATTGGCTAAAATTTGAAGAGCAATGAGAAGGTGCCCCGCTGTAAATCCAAGGAGATCGTCGAGTCTTAGAAGGTTGTGGCTGAGCTAGAGTGTCTAGGATGGGATGCAGCTATGGCGGTTTTGTGATGGCTGAGATCATTCCTGTGGTTCAGAGTCGCCCTGGGGACTATCAGTACAATCTGGGGGAAGAACTCTGAAAGGGGACGTTTACCCTGTAATTTTCTAGATTTGGCGGGTAAACGGAAAAAGAGCGGATGATACGAGCACCTCGAGTTACGAAACGAAAACGGGAGAGAAATTCGAGAAGTGTTTGCACTGTAGCTTACAGCTGAAATTTCTCTTCGGGCAGAAACGCGCTGCAGAGTGGAGTGGAGCACGGCGGGCCACAAACAGTGGACACCATCACGTGACACCAATCTAGATCTGAAGGATGACAATGTGCCACGCTGGCAAAAAAGAAGCACCTCATGTTGCATGACCTGAAAGCATCACCACTTCTTGCCCTCGTTTTCCGCAAAAGAGGTCCTTGCCATGGGAAAAGGCGGTCAGAAAAGTATGACCCGATATGGTTTTGACCCGAAAGGCTGTGAAGTCTGTTTTGGGACTCACAACCCTTTAAAGAAGCTAACATATTATCCATCACTTTCTTATCACATTGTGACGCTGAGAGTTGCTCCATGCGAGGCTTTCTATAAAGAGGACGTTCTGGACGTGTCTGTTGGTGCGCTCGGATTAGTTGGGTATGGCGGTCAAAGCTGTTGCCATTGCGTTTGTTTGTGATTCGCGGAGCCCCCGAGGAATACCGTAGAAAAGATGCTTCGATATCAAACACTAGCTGACACGCCTTGCATTGCTGATTGCATAAAGAACTTGTGCATTTCTGGAAGAAATACACGCCTGCCGAGCCGAACACCACCGTACTGTCACCCCCAACCTCCTCAGCAATTTCTATGCTCCTGGAGAAAGCTTTCCCTTGACGCTTGAACCTTCCAGAATCCCGGACAAGTTCATTCATGGCCGCTCTTTTGCTGCCAACCCTTCCCAGCAATCCGCCATAGCCGATCATGTACATGGTGTATGTCTGTATGGAATGTACACCAGCTGGTGGAACAGTACAGTATGACACCGAGGCATGTCAAGCAGTTTCATCGTACGACACGACTTAGACGGTGCACTGCTTCTTGGGGAAATCGCAGCGACCGTCCCTTGGCGATTGGCTCGCGAAGTTGCACGAAGCGCACAGGTTCACAACGCTACGCATAGCTATCACGTCAGCTAATGCCCATGCGCCTTTCACGCTCGTAACATCAGCCATCGCACGGACGCCAGCCTCCGTGCTATAGCAGACCGTCGTTCGCTTTCTCACTTCAAGGGCCCCTAGCGATGGTGGCCTTCCGTTGAGATAACCACTTCTTCTCCGGTTTGCCTCCATGGCTCTCTGTTCCTGCGAGCGGCCCCTTCATAACACTACTGGCCCTTCTGGGATCCGCTCCCGTGCAGCTTCGAGGAATTTGCGAGCTCGGCCTGACTCCTGGACTTGTTCGCGGCTAATGATCGGTGGACGTCATACGCGTTATACGCCAAAGATTCACGGATCCAATCGAGAACCAGAGGGATGTCAGAGACCAGGAAGAGCGCGGAGATTAGAGATTAGAAAGGGAGTAAGCTCTGGAGGGTTCTCTGGCCTCCGCAGACACAGGCTCGAGGATTCGTCTGGAGCGTTTTCTGCTCCTTTATTCGCGAGTGAGCCTGGTTACCCATCTCGCCACGCGCTCCCCAGTTTCGCCACGCCAGCAGGCCGAGGGAGGCAGAGCAAACGAGCTCGTCTCACGGTTTCCGCTCTGCCTGCTGATTTCTCCGCTGCTGATGCTGCTGGGAGCAGCAGTGACACTTGGCACGCTGTGATTGGAGGGCTTGAGGATACCCTGGAACGGCTAGCAGAGGCCGGGGATGTAGCAGCGGATGTAGCATTGGATGTGGCACCGGATTTGATGGGGGGGTTGGTGGTGGGTGCTGCTCTGGCTCTGGCAGGATTTGCAGCTGCTGCTGCTGATCGTGGCGGTGGCTCCCTTGGTGCTACTGATGCTGCTGGTGCTGGTGCTGGTGCTGGTGCTGGCTCTGCCTCTGGCTCTGCCGTTGGCTCTGCTGCTGGCTGTGGTGCTAGGAGATCAAGTGGTTCGGAGCAAGAGGGGCTATTTGGAACAGAATTTGGAGGAAGGGTGGAGGCTGATTTGGAAACAGAAACGAGTCACGGCTTGGGAGTGGAACGCAGTGGGGAGTTTTTCCTGCTGCCCGAGTTCGGGCCTGAGGGAAATGTTTTCGGCCTACAGAAATACTTTCTGGCTCGATGTCCGTCTCTCCCCCCTCCTGCTGCACCGAGCGTGCTCTTGCGAGGGCCGCCTGATCGTACTCCTGGTAGAGCTGATGGGGTCGAAAAGACTACGGTGGGAGGATTCGGACAGCAGACGGCACTGGTGGAGGCAGAGGAGTCACAGCAAGTACCGGCACCAGAGGAGGATCCGGGTGCAGCAGGTAAAGGAGTGACCAGTGGGCGGGAGATCCTTGGGCGGCAGGTGGATGGCGCAGCAAGGCAGAGACCCCTTCTGGGGCGGCAGCAGCTGGACGGTTCTGCAACCCAGAGGCGGTTATTTGGGCGGCACTGCATCTCCACTCCTGACGGGGGGACTTTGTCCCTTGATTTTCTCAAGGACTCGCCCTTGGGATTGCCGCCACCCTTGGGATTGCCGCCACCTTTGGGATTGTCGGGAAAAGATACCCTTAGAACCTGCACTGTAGATGCGGGAGCTGTCGAAGGGAGTGTACATGTGAGTGAAGACAGTGCGGTGTACAAAGGTGAAGATGGTCCAATGAGGACGGTTGCAGTAGGACAACAGACCCAGAAGCAGCAACAGCAGAAGCAGCAGCAGCAGCAGCAGCAGAAGCAGCAGAAGCAGCAGCAGCAGCAGCAGCAACGGTCGGGCCTGTTAGACCAACTGGGAGCAGGCGAGGGCATGGTGGTGCTGCTGGTGGCAGGCACGGCAGCAGGCAGTGCGGACCCTTTCATCCAGCGCCTGGCATGCAGCATAACCGCCAGAGGCCACTTGCCCGTGGTGCTCAACCTGCGGGGGTGCGGTGACAGTCCTGTCACTTCCCCACGGTGAGCGAGTGTGTGTCTGTGGGCCTGTGTGTGCATGCATAGGTGCTGGCAGCAGGCAGTGCGGACCCTTTCATGCAGCGCCTGGCGTGCAGCATAGCCGCCAGAGGCCATGTGCCCGTGGTGCTCAACTTGAGAGGGTGTGGAGGGGGACGACCCGTCACCTCTCCCCGGTGAGTGGGTCGTTTTCTTTGTTTGAGCACGCGTGCATACCATGGCCACTCTTGTTGTCACTCCCTTTGTCACTCTCCTTGTCAACTCCATCTCTCTTATCCTCCTTCATCTTTCTTCCACCGTTACCTTTCTCCCCCCTTCCTCCTCCTTCGCTTTCCGCCATCCCCTGTGGCCCACTCCCCTTTCCCTCCTCCTAATGGCTTTCCTTCCCTCGGTTGCTTCCTCGCCTTCTCCCTCCTCTTTCTCCCTCCCTCCATTTATCCACTCCTATCAGCCTATTTTCAGCAGCTGACAGTGCTGACGTGGCACTGGCAGCCAATTTCCTCGCGGCATCCTTCCCCGACTCCCTCCTAGTGGCCGTGGGGGTGGGTCTGGGGGGGCACCTGCTGCTGAGGTACCTGGGGGACGCAAGCAGGGGGACGAGGGGAGAGAAACGGGGGTCAAAGACGAGGACGGGGGACGAAAGGGACGGAAGGAACGGAAGGGACGGAAAGTTGAGGGGGGGGCTGGGTGGTGGTTGTGGAGGGTTTGGAATGGGTGGGGTATACAATCAGAGCGGTATCCAAGCAGCCATGGCGGTTGATGCGCCCATGTGCCTCTGCCAACAGTACTACAGTGACAGTCGCTGCTCTGACGAGGAGGAAGTTTCCAGGAGGATGGCACGTGATATGGTGGCGCTCCTGCACAGGCATGAGGTCTCTCTTCTTACCCTCCTCTCACCCTGCCTTTGCTCTTGCCTGTCCTCTCACCCTGCCTTTGCTCTTGCCTGTCCTCTCACCCTGCCTTTGCTCTTTCTCGCTCCTGCACCGTGCGGTCCCACTCCATACCCTCTTCCCTCTGTTATTTCTCGCCCCTACACCATCTCACGTTGGACGCACAACCCCCTAGATCTCAGAATCACATGCTCTTGCTGGGGTTATGCACCCCACATAAAATGCTCTTACTAGCGGACACACTTCTTGCACTCCCAGCTCCACTTCTGCTTCCCTCCTCTCCTCCCTCTCACCCTCAGTTTCACCTCTCTCTATCATTACACCCCTCAACCCAATACACCGGAACATACTCAGATGATATTCTCTGGAGTGCGGGGCCCACATGAGCCCCTCGACCTATCGGCAGCAGTGGCTGCTTCGTCCCTCGGCCAATGGGACGACGCCATGTCACGCCGTGCCTTGGGATACCCGTCGCTATATGCCTTCTATGACGCATGTTGTGCGTCTGTTGCAGTTGAAGACATTGCCGTGCCCACTCTGTGCATCCAAGTGAGTGGGGACAGACAGAGGGAGCACGGGGCTGTTCGTTGTTAGCTGCGAGGGATGGGGACCGTACTGAATGCATGTGGCGTTAGCCATGATAGGTACTGCTCATCTCTATCATGGCTAACGAGGGATGGGGACGGTACTGAATGCATGTGTCGTTAGCCATGATAGGGGCTGTTTGGTTGTGCGTTCATAGCAGCGAGGCACAATGTAAAGTGAAGGGATGGGAAGAGAAGGATGGGTAGCACAATGTAAAGTGAAGGGGACTTGTGGGGGAGAAGGGAGTGGAGGGCGGTCGACCAGGGGAGCAGAGGGGCAAGGGATAAGAGGGGAAGGGGAGGGATAAGAGGGGAAGGGGACGGGAGGGTAGACCTTTGTTGCGTCTTGCTGCCCTCAGCTGAGTGAATGACCTCATGGCCGAGTGAATGACCTCATGGCCGAGTGAATGACCTCATGGCCGAGTGAATGACCTAATGGCCGAGTGAATGACCTCATGGCCGAGTGAATGACCTCATGGCCGAGTGAATGACCTCATGGCCGAGTGAATGACCTCATGGCCGAGTGAATGACCTCATGGCCGAGTGAATCACCCCATGGCCGAGTGAATGACCCCGTTGCCATCTGGCATTGCGCCCTTCTTCAGCTGCTCTTTCTCCTCACCCGGCTCAGTCCTCTCTCCACTTTTATTGCTCCTGTCTCCCCCCCCCCGCCCACTCTCTTTTCCCCCCTGACTCTTCTCACTTGTTTGAGCAGCGAGAGAGTGTTGTCACACCAAGCACTGTGGCTTTTCCTCCCTCCTCCCCTTCGTCGTCCTCCTCCTCCTCTTCATCCTTCTCTTCATCCTCCTCGACCTCGCCTTCTTCCTCAGAGCCATCCATGTGGCAGCCCTTCCTAACCAACTGCAACCTCTCTCTCTGCGTCCTGTCCAGCAATAGAGCCCATTTGGACGCTGCTGCTGCTGCTGCTGCTGCTGCTTCTGCTTCTGCAGCTTCTCCTTCTCCTGCTGCTGCTGCTGATAGTGCTGGTGCTGGTGATGCTGGCACCAGAAACTGCTCGTCTGTTGCCCTCTCCTCGTCTCATCTCTGGAGCCCCTCCTTCGCCAGCCGTGTCATGCAGACTGTTGATGAGGTGAGGCCATTTCAGAAGAGGGGCGCAAGGGTGAGTGACGCATGCACATCGGTGCGGTTGGCGCACAAGCACATGCGCCTTGCCAAAATTGTCACTGGTCCAACACTTTCTCTGGCACAAGCAGACTTATAGAGAATGTCTCTTATCCCGCCCCCCCCCGCCCCCCCCTTTCTTTCCTGCTTCTTCCGGTTTTCCTCTCATTCCCCCATGTGGCTGCAGTGGTTGCCAGCAATCGAATCTGCTCTTCTTCAGCAAAGACTGAGAGATTTGGCTCGTGAAACGGACAAGAGTGTGGTTCGACGTAAAAGAGGCACGGGGAGTCAAGGTCCACTGCGCGGGAGAGACGAGAGGGTTAAAAAATTACAGTATGAGAGCGGAGGAGGAGGAGGAGGAGGAGAGCGGATGAAAGGGCATGCCACGAGGTCACCTGATACTCGTGCTCTAAATGCACCTGATCCGGCTGCTGCTGCTTCAGCTGATCAACCTGCCGCTACACCTGCGGAAACTGGTGCTGCTCAATGCGGCTCAGCAATTCTCACAGGTGCTTCCTCAGGTGTTCTGTCAGGTGCTGCTGGGGTAGCATCCGACGGTGGTCCTGTGAGCCCAGAAGGAGTGATGCAGGGCGCTGCACTGTCATCTGCAGCAGTGCCTGCTAAAGATACGACGGCAATGAGTGCAGCAGGAGCAGAGGAAGCAGCGACAGCAGGTGCTGCAGAGGAGTCACTACCAGCAGTGCAGAGTGGTCCTGTGCACCCAGGGGGAGTGATGGCAGGTGCTGCACAGTCACCTGCAGCAGCGGCTGCTGAGGCTGCAGCGACAACAGCAGGGGTCAGTGTCACAAGGGGGGACAAATCAGCAGCACCAGGCGCTGCTGCTGCGGATTCACCACCAGCAGTGCACAGTGGTCTTGTGGGTTCACTACCAGGGGGAGTGATGCAGGGTGCTGCCCAGGTGCCTGCAGCAGCGCCTGCAGGTGTTTCGGCAACAGCTGCAGCCACAGCAGAGGCAGCAGAGGCAGCAGAGGCAGCAGAGGCAGCAGAGGTAGCAGCTGCAAATCCAGGGGTTGTGGCAGAACCAGCAGCAGTGGAAGGAGCAGCAGCAGTAGCAGCGGAGCTGGCAACAGCAGCAGCAGCAGCAACAGCGGAAACAGCCGCAGCAGCAGAGACACCAGCAGCAGCAGCACCCCCCTCACCGTCAGTGTCCCAGTGGGCGGAGGCTGCCCTCAACCTCGTCGATGCTGCCATGCCCGGCGCTGTGAGCGCAGGGGAGAGGGAGCAGGTCAGTGCGCAAGTGTGTGCATTTGTGTGTATGAGTCTTATGTGGTACAATGTTACCAACCCCCCCCTCACCGTCGGTGTCTCAGTGGTCGGAGGCTGCTCTGAACCTCCTGGGTGCTGCCATTCCTGGCGCTGTGAGTGCAGGGAAGTGAAAGCAGGTGAGCGCGCGGCTGCTGTGTGTGTGTGAGCACGCGTGTGCGTGTGTATGTGTGTATGCGTGTGCGTGTGTGTGTGCGCGTGTGTGTGTGTGTGTGTCTATGTGTGCGTGTGTGCATGCATGTGCGTGTGTGCATGCTTGTGTGTGCGCGCGCGCGTGTGTGTGTGTGTGTGTGTGTGTGTGTGTGTGTTTGTGTGTGTGTGTATGCTTGTGTGTGTATTCATGTCTGTGTGTGTGTGTCCGCGTGTGTGTGTGTGTGTGTGTGTGTGTGTGTGTGTGTGTGTGTGTGTGTGTGTGTGTGCACGCGTGCGTCCATACTCCTGTGTGTGGCGAGAACTGCTCCGCGAGCTCAGTAAAAGCTGAACAATCCTCCCTGTCCTCAGCTGAACAATCCTCCCTGTCCTTAGCTGAGCAAGCCACTCTCCCTTGGTTCTTCCCGGCCTGTGCTTCCTCTACAGCTCCTGTCAGCCATACAGAGAGGACAGAGCATAGCAGACGCGGTGCAGCAGGTACTACCACCCGAGCTCCAGTCATCAGTCACCAGCACACTCAAGCAGTGTGTGGAGGCGGCCCAGACCTCAGCAGCAGTGGGCAGCACTCTGAAGCAGGCGGTTTCTCTTCTGCCCAAGGCACGCCCCCTCACATGGGCTGGGCAGAGAACGGCTGGAAGTGCGGAGCAGGACAGGGAAGGGGAACAGGGTAGGAGCGAAGAAGGGAGAGGGGTGCAGGAGAGTGGGATAGATGAGAGGGAGGCAGAGTCGGAAGGCACCGGAGTGAAAGAGCGGATCGAATCTGCTTCAGAGTCGACTCAAAAGCGGATCGAAGCGGATGGAATTGTGGGTGTGAATAGCCACTCAAATGACAGCTCGAGCGGGATTGGGAAGTCGCGCATGCCTGTGAGCAGCAGCAGTGAGGAGCAGAAATCCGGGGGTGGGGCGGGCATGAGAGACACGCTTTTGGATGAGCTGTGGGGGGAGCTCATCCCGCAGCAGCAAGAGCAGCAGCAGCAGGAGCAGGAGCAGAAGCAGCAGTTTCAGCAGCAGCAACAACAGCAGGAGAGGCAGCAGCAGCAGCAGCAGCAGCAGGTGCTTGATGACTTGTGGAGCGAAACGCCAGAGTATGACAAAGCAGGAGGGGACTCCGCTACCTCGCCTAATTCGAGTAGCATTTACAGTGGAAGCAGCAGCAGCAGCGGCAGAACGAGCAACAGTATTCCTCCATCCACCTCACCACCTGCAGACACGTCCTCCCCATCCTCTCCCCTCCTCTCTCCCACCCCTCCTACCCCCCTCCCTTCAGCCATCTCTCCTCCAGCCTCCCCTGCTGCTGCCGCACCATTCCCTGCCAATTCCACCCTGCCCACCTCCTTCCCCCCGTCTCCCGCTTGTCCTCCCCTCATCCCCCCGGTCTACAGTCCCCAGCCCCCAAGTCCCGCACCTTCTGCTCCCCTCAACCCAAGCCCCTCCCCCGCGGCTCCCTCCCCCAATACTGCTCTTCCCAGCCCCTCTCCTCCCACTCCCCCTTCCCCCACTCCCCCTTCCCCCACTTCCCCTCCCCCCACTTCCCCGCCTCCTGACCCTCCTTCAGCTGGCCCTCCCCCACCTGTTGCGTCCCCCAACTCCCCTCCCCCACCCCTTCCCTCCCCCAGCCTTCCCCCAGACGCCCCTCCCCCCGCTCCTGATGCGCCTTCCTCCCTTCCCCCTTCTTCCAATACCTCCCCTTCACCTTCTGCTTCCGCTCCCCCCCCCACGCAATCCCCAACTCCCTCTCCCCTTCCACCCCCGCCTGCTCCCTCCCCCTCCGCTCCTTCCCCGCCCTCCCCTCCCTCCCCTCCCTCCCTCCCCTCCCCTCCCTCCCCTCCTTCCGCTCCCTCCCCTCCGTCCCCTCCTGCTGCCCCGCCTTTATCCTTGGGCGGGTTGAATCTGTCTGTAGCGGTGCAGGCGTTATCTGGGGTAGATGACAGCTCGCAGGTAGCTGTCGCGAGTGTGTTTGACGCTGTGGGTGGTATTTTGGCAGAGCTAAAGCAGGAGAAGGAGAAGAGGGAGGAGGAGGAGAAGAGAGAGGAGGAGAAGGGAGATGAGGAGAAGAGGGAGGAGAAGAGAGATGAGGATAAGAGAGAAGGGGAGAGGAGAGAAGGGGAGAAGAGAGAAGAGGAGGAGAGAGAAGGGGAGGAGGATATGAGAAGAGTACGGAAAGCAAGGGATGAGGAGAGGGAGGTATGGAGGGAGGAAGAGGGAAGGGGAAAAGACCAGGATATCTCGCAGCACAAGGCAAAGAGGAAGGCTCAGGGTAGTGGTAGGGGCAAAACAGGGCAGGTGGACGCAAAAGGTGAGGGGGAGGGGAAGGGGTTGGCGGGTGAGACGCCCGGTTCAGCCTCCTCTTCTGTGGATAAGATGGTCGGCTCTGCTACAGCCATGGCTGCTACAGCCTTGGCAATCAATGCTACAGTCGGGGCTGGTGAGACGGCAGCAGAAGTTGCTTCAGGGACGTCTCAAAAGCAGCACAGTAGGGCGGTGGGGGTGGCAGAGGGGCAAAGCGCGGAGCCTGAAGAAAATGGGGCTGCAGCACGCGGAGGCAGTGCAACAGGGGCAGCAGCAGTGGCGGAACAGCAAGCACATGACGGTTCACAGCGACTTGATGGGGGAGGCGGGACTGGGGGAGGAGGAGAGGGTTTTGGAGAGGGCGGAGCAGAAGGTGCGGGGGAGGGGTTGTTGGAGATAGCTGAGAAGGCAATCGAGGTGGCGTCTCCTGTGATTCCAAGGAAACAAGACGGGCAGGTCGACTTGAAAAGGTGAATCCATTTGCAAGCAGTTGTAAGAAAATTGTCATCTGATCTGATTTGATATGATCTGATCTGGTTGCCCTGTATCTGGTCTTGCTGTCTGGTTCAAACAGAAACATACCCCTTTCCCACTCCTCCCACAGGTTATCTGAGATGATAGAGCCGTGGGGAGCCACATATGCTGAGGGTGCTGGGCTAGGTGGCTCTTTCTTCCTTCCCATCTCAACCACACCGCAACATGCCCCACCCTCACCTCTCCCCCTCCACCCCCAGGTTATCTGAGATGATACAGCAGTGGGGAGCACACGGCCGCATGCTGAGAGTGTTGGGAAAAACCACACTCCATCGTCCCCTCCGCCCCCTCCGCTTCTCCCTCCCAATCTCCCCGCGCCCATCATCTTTCCGCAGGTTATCTGAGATGATTCAGCAGTGGGGTGCCCACGGCCGCATGCTCAGAGTGCTTGGCAAGGCGGCCCTCTTTGCCGAGGGCCTCTACGGCGCCGTGGGGCTGTGCGAGCAGCTGATATCCCTCACGGACATCCACAAGCGGTCGCTTACAACTAGGTGAGCACCCTCAGGAAGGCGGCCCTGTTTCATGGGGAAGGCAGCCTTCTCTTTGCCGAGGGCCTCTACGGCGCCGTGGGGCTGTGCGAGCAGCTCATATCCCTCACGAACATCCACGAGCAGGCTCTTGGCACCAGGTGAGCCGCTTATTGTAAAGCCTGATTTTACTGATGGGCAAGCTGATAGCGCTCACAGAGATTTACGAGCGAGCCCTCAGTACCAGGTGCGCACCATAGTAGGAAGGAAGGCAGCACTCTTTGCTGTGGGGCTCTACAGCGGTGTGCCATGGGCCTGTGCGAGCGGCAAGCAACAGACCGCGCTCACAGACATTCACAAGCGCTCGCTCCCCAGGCTCCTCTTCTCTCTCCTCCTCCTCATCCTCCTCTGGTCGCCCATCCTCAACCCCTTCCCATATCACCACAATCACCTCCCTTACTCTCACGTCCCTAACCCCCATTCCTTCTCTTCTCCTCCCCCACCCCCTTTCCTCCCACCCTCTCCAGGCTCCTCTTCGCGCTCCTCCTCGTCCTCCTCTGGTCGCCCATTCTCATCCCCTCCCTCATTCGCTCACCCCGTGTCCTCTCTTCCCCCATCCCTATTCTCAGGTGATTTTTGAGTCGACTCAAAAATCACCTACCGATTCCTCTCTGCCCCATCCCTATTCTCCCTCTCCACCCCCCCCAGGCTCCTCTTGGCGCTCCTCCTCCTCGTCCTCCTCTGGTCTCCGATCCTCATCCCCTTCATCCCCTCCCTCATCACCACACTCACCTCCCCCTCGGCCAATCCCGTGGCGCCACCTGTCGTCACCACAGCTCTGCTCGCCGTGGGTCTGTACATCGCCCTGCTCCTCCTAGTGCGCATCTGGGGCAGGAGAGTCAGGAGATACGAGCATCCCATTAAGGAATACGGGCTCAGGCTGTTTGAGTCAACCCAGGAGGTGAGTGTTGTAAGCTGCACCACGGTCCTGCTGACTGTGTGTCTCCTCGCTGTGGGTCTGTACATTGCCCTGCTCCTACTAGTGCGCATCTGGGGAAGGCGAGTCAGGAGATGCGAGCAACCAATTCGGGAGTACGGCCTCAGGCTATTTGAGTCAACACAGGAGGTGAGGGTTGCAGTAGAGAGCGCATGTGTTTGCCTGCTAGAGAGCATGCAGTGTGGGTTCGTTTTTTAGAATGATAAAAAATGACTCCACCCTAGCAGGAGGTGAGGGTTGCAGTAGAGAGAGCATGAGTTTGCCTGCTAGAGAGCATGTAGTGTGGGATTGCTGGCCCATGAGAGAGAAAGCCTGCTGGCTATCAAAGACTATGGGTTGAGCGTCGTCTAGTGCACACCAAGAGGTAAGGGTGGTGCAATGCAGAGAGGTTGTGCTGGTTTTGTGCGCACCTGCTGACCCACAACCCTGCTGGCTGTGAGTCTGTGCAGTGCGCTTCTGCCTCATCTCCCTGAACCTGCTTACCTCAAACCGCACCTTCCCTCTCCCCAATCTTCTTCCCCTCCCACCCCCCTTCTTCTCACTCCAGCTCTCATGGCTGGCCCAGGGATTGCCCCTCCTGCTCCTGGGCACGTCCCTCCTGCTGCTGCTGCACGCCATTCAGCTGCACCTCAACCTCCCTCACTCACGCTGCTCCTTTCCCCTTCCCCCTACCCCCCACCTCCCCCCTACCCCCACTCCTCCAGCTCTCATGGCTGGCCAAGGGTCTATTGTTGGGTTCATCGCTCTTGCTTCTACTGCACGGCATTCAGCTGCACCTCAACCTCACCTCCCTACACCTCACCTCCCTACACCTCACCTCCCTACACCTCACTCTCTCATACTGCACCTCCCCCCTCTCCCCCCCCCCGCCTTCCCCCTCCCCCACTACCCACCCTCCTCCAGCTCTCGTGGCTGGCCCAGGGTCTGCTCCTGGGCTCGTCCCTCCTGCTGCTGCTACACGTTATTCAGCTCCGCCTCAACCTCACCTCCCTTAACCTCCCTCCCTTCCACCTTCCACCCTTCCTCCTCCCTCCCACCCTCCGATTTCCCGATCTCACTCTCATCCGTTCAACCCTCTCCTCCGTCTTCCACTCAATCCTGCACCGTCTGCATCAAGCCACTTCCTCCCTACCGCATTGGTCACCCGTACACTTCCCTCCTACCTCCTCCCTGCCGTCTCTCCAACCCCTCCAAACCCCAATCCTAGCTTCTGCTGCTGCGGCTGCCACCCCTACCGCTATCACACCCACCCGCCCACTCTCCTTTCTCGCCTTGCTCCTCCCCTCCCTCCTCTCCGCCCTCCTCTCTCTCCTTGTCTCCACCTCTCGCATCCTGCGCCTTGTAACGGGGTCGCTACTAATGGGTACGGCTGTAGCAGTGGTGGAAGAGCTTGTCTTCCGAGGCTGGCTGTTTGAAGAGGTTCGGTGGGACCGAGGCCTGGCGTTTGCTTCGGGAGTCACTGCACTACTGTTTGCCATAGTGCACTGGTGAGTGCTAAAGCCTTGGGTTGAGTTGAGATGGTTGAGATGGTTGAGATGGTTGAGGTGAGATGGTTGAGATGGTTGAGATGGGTCTCCTGGCACCCCTCCCCATCCTCACAGGTCACTCCCAGCCATGCCGGGTCTCTTTCTCCTCTCCCTCGTCATCTCCTTCCTTCCTCACTACATGGCCCGCCTGACCGTCCTGTCTGCTGTCGCCCCCTACCCTTCTCCCTACACTCCCCTCTTGTTCCCGCAGGTCCATCCCAGCCATGCCGGGTCTCGTCCTCCTCTCCCCTACCCTCTCTTTCCCGCCATCGCTGCAGCAGCAGTCTCTCCCTCCGTCCCTCTCTCACAGTTTTCTTCCAACCTTTCCTTGCACCCCTCTCCCTTTCTTTCCCCCCTCCCCACAGGTCCATCCCAGCCATGCCGGGTCTCGTCCTCCTCTCCCTCGCCCTCTCCTTCCTCTCACTCACCCACCGCTCTCCTTTCCGCCGTGCACATACCCCAACCCCCCTCCCCACAGGTCAATCCCTGCCGTGACGGGTCTCATCCTGCTCTCCCTCGCGCTCTCCTTCCTCCGCCTCCGCTGCAGCAGCAGCAGCCTCTCCCTAACTCTTTTTCCTACCATCTCTCTCCCTTCCACCTCCCTCCCCCACAGGTCAATCCCAGCCATGCCGGGTCTCATCCTCCTCTCCCTCGCGCTCTCCTTCCTCCGCCTCCGCTGCAGCAGCAGCCTCTCCCTCCCCATCGGTCTCCACACCAGCCTGATCGCCGCAAATCAAATCATATCTTTCTCGGGGATCGTATCCTACCGCCCGGGAGCCCCCGTGTGGCTCACAGGCGCGCATAAGGCCAACCCCCTGGCGGGGTTGATAGCGCAGGGTCTGCTGCTGGTGATGGTGGTGGCACTGTGCCCTTGGGGGGAATTAGTGCGAGAAAGGAAGGGGAGACTCGCTAAAGATAGCGATATTGATAGTGACGGTGATAGTGACAGTAGTGAATGCGAGTCTGAGGATGAGTATGTGGATCCATCATCTGATGGAAGGAAACAGTAACCAATATAGGCACATGTTGCTTGCTGTATAAACCATGTGCTTGTGGTACTGTACATGTTTTGCTGCTGAGGAATCATGGTGTATTAGTAGTACATGTTACAACTTCATTCAGCAAACACCAGAGATACACATTTGAGAGCATGTGCATGCATCACATGGTCTGCTGTTGCATAGACTCATAATGTATACTAGTTCTGCCACAACTCTGTCCAGCAAACAACAGAGTGTTACAAATAGAGTCACATGAGCACCTCATGTACTTTGCACAGGACCTAAATCGTGCCATGATCATAGTGCTGTCACATGCAAAACTACATGTATACCGGTAGTTTACAGATGTGTCTGTCCACAAATGTGTCTGTCTTCACACCTCTGACACCACCCACTTAGTGCCGCAGCCCGGGCAACACATGCGTTGGCCGCTCTTGCCACCACCCCGACTTAAATACATGTCACTCGCTGTCTCCAGCCTCCAATGGGATTGCAACTCCAATCTTTAGCTCCCAAAACCGTTGCAAGCCCAGCGTCCGAGCAACACGAGCATTGGCTGCTCTTGCGCCTCCCCTTTAACACGAATGACTGGGAGCATCATACGCACGCTGCTCTCCCATCAATACCCCTACTCTACAACCCCTCTCACTGCCCCCCCCTTCCCCCCCTCCCCTCATAATGGCTGCAATCCCAGCTTCCTGGCAACAAGTGCATTGGCCGCCCTCGCCTCCTCCACACTCCAATTCTGCACTCTCTCCAACGTCAGCCCCTCCTCAGGTACCACCTCCCTGCTCCTGTCTCCCCCCCTGCTCCCCTCCTCTCTGCTCCCCTCCTCTTTACCCCCCACCTCTTCCTCCTCCTCCCCTCTGCCTTCCCCCTCTGCAACCCACAGCTGCCTCCCGGCTCCGTCTTCCTCCGGGTCCAGAGCAGCCTCGCCTGGGGCACTTGAACCTCCCTTGCTCTCTTGAAGTCCAATCACTTGACGCCCAATCACTTCCACCGGCTGCTTCTTCCGATTCATCTCACTGTGAGCGGCTTCGACCATATGCCTTTGAGCATCGTCTATCACGAGACCAATAAGCTTATCTTCTTGAGGCTCGTCCTCGACTGCCTTGAACCCAGTAGCCTCGATCCTTTGAGACTTGTACGCCTCAAGCCCAATAACGTGAACCCCCGGTTCCTCACGGTCCTCACCTCTTATTGCAACAGCAGTCTCTGCAGCATCACCAGCTGTGTCGGCATCACACTCTACGCTGTGCACTTCCGCAAACGGCTCCTGGCTTGCCTCTTGTGGCAAAAGGCGGACGGTCGCTTGCTGGCCACCGCTGCTAAGTATCTCAATGCTGCTGCTGTCGCTGCTGCTGCTGTAGCTGCTGCTCCCTGATAAGTCTGCTACCGCTAAACCTGTGCCATCTGATGCTGCAGCCTTGGAGCTTAAATAATTCCTCAGAGCCCTCTTGGAGAAATCCAGATCCTTCTTCGAGCCTTGCTCCTGCTTGCTCCCCTCTTTTCCATTGCGCCCCTCACTTCCAAACAATCCACCTATATGTCCGCTCAACCATCCCTGTGCGCTGGTCGTGCCTATTGCCCTACCCCTGCTGCCCCATGCCACCCCTCCAGCAGCAACTGCCACGGTCAGACCAAGAATAACCGGCCAACGCCCACTGCTCTGCTGCGCCCAAACAGAAAGTTGTTTTTTGGGCAGCAAGAGCTGCTGCTGCTGCCCGACAGTGGCTGCAAATTGTCGGGCAGGGCTGCCAAAAAAGGTGCTCCTGCCCTGGCTTTCTCCCAAGCTTCCTCCCACCATCCCACCTGCAATGCGCTGCTGCTGCTGCTGCTTTTGCTTCCGCTCATTCTGTCGTGGCTGCTGCATATGCAGCTGATGTGGCTGCTGTTGCGGTTGTTGCCTTAACGATGTGCGATGACGGGTGATGGAGGGCCGAGGAGCCGCAGAGGAGGCCGTAGATGTGCAGTCGAGATAAGGGATCTGGACAGACATTCAGGAGAAAGAGAGAGGGCAGGAGAAAGAGAGGGCGGGGATTAGGAAATAATATAACGATGTGGCAATATCCGAGGAAAGGGATCAGGGGAGATATGCAAGAAAAGAGAGTGAGGTTTGGGAAGCGGAAAGAATAGAAGGTGTGGAAATACTGAAGGCAAGGGATCAAGATTCAGGAGACATGGAGATAGGAAGCACAGCTGGCATAGTTCCAGGAAGGTTCCTCACCTTAGGAGCAGCCACGCTGGCAAAAGCAGACGCCACCTCCCTCTCTTCGCACCTCTCTATCTCCTCAATCCGGCCCAACCCCCCCACACCGTCCATCCTCCCTCTTCTCGCCTCTTCTGCCTTCCCAAGTCCCCGGCTTCTCAACCCCTCTTTGTCGCCTCCGACGGTCTCCCTGCTTTCCCTACGACCCCCCAGAAGCACCCCCTCCCTTTCAATTTCTCCTCTCGTTTTCCTGCTCGCCTGCCTGTCCGACTCGTACCTCTGCTGCCCAGCACTCGGGCCGGCAGCGTATTTCTGAGGGTAATTTCCCCCGGGTTTCTCTCTAAGCTTCAGGGCAACGTACTGCGACACCTTGATCTCTGCGTCTTCTAGGCTAAGCGGCGGCTCCTCCGAGCCAACATACCCATCACGAGCCTGACAGGGTGGTTCGGCGGGAGGCACATCACTTACGTCCTGCCGCTTCGACCCGCTCTCGACAGACGCACTCTCCACCGCGCTTCGCGCACCGTCATTGCTCCGCACCCGCTCGCCGTGATTGCTTCGGGCTTCGCCGCTTCTGTCCTCAGCCCCATTTCTCCCCGCCCAATCGCCGCCTTTCGCGTTCCCTTTTGGAGCCGTCGCGAATCTCGTCGCATCGCCGTCTTTCGCGGGGAGGGGAAGGAATATCACCTCCCCCACTCGCACCGCGGGCGACGGCTTGGCGTTGGCCGCAAGGAGCGCGTCCAGGGGGAGGTGGTAACTGGCGGCGATGGAGAAGAGGGTCTCGCCCGGTGCTACTTGGTGCAGGCGCATCGAAATTGATACGCTATCCGCCGTCGTCGCGTGAAGTTTTGGAACTCGTTCGCGCGCGGACGGCCCGGTGGGGGTGCGGTAAGAAAGCGCGGTGCGCGCTTGCGATGGCCCGGCGGGAGTGCTGTGAGAAAGCGCGGTGCGGGTTTGAGATGGAGGCTGCGGGAGACGGGAGAATCAGGAAGATGGAAAGGAAAAAAAGGGAAAGAGGAAAGAATACGTGACAATGACCCCACCAACTACGCAGGAGACAATCGGGAGGAATCGAGGAAGGGTGCAGAAGAGAACCTTCTGCTGCTGCTGCAGCTGCTGCGCTGTGCAAATAGCCAACGGAGCAACACGGGTGGCGCTCGCTGTCGTGTTTCCGCAAGCGTCGGCCCGGGCGAAAGAACTGGCGGAAGAGAGGGAGGCCATGGAGCCCATGTCCGAAGCTGCCAGGCTTCTGGAGGTGAGAGGAGCGGGTCGAAGAGCCATTTTCACACACGATGGCGTCAAGATAGGTAAGCGACGCTCAGAACCTAGGCGAGGGAGGTTGCTCTAACACCCGAGGATAGGACCACTCTCAGGGAAATGGGCATCTTATGGCATGAGGAGTCAAATCGAGAAGGAAACACTGTTGAAACTGGGGGAAATCCGAGGGAAAATGAACACGAGAAAGATGGCATGGAGAAATGGAGAATGAGATGGAATGGCGAAAGAAGCGGGCAGTCACACCCGAGAAGGGCAAGGCGGGAAATTGGGAAGGAGCAGTAGGAGAGGAGGATGAACCCTTGAATTTTGGCTGATCCCGCTCCAGGGCATCCCAGGGAACTCCAGAAGGCTCACCCCAAGTTCGGAAACCTCGAAGTTTGATCGGGCGTACGAACCAGTTATAAGTGCCCGGCAAGTTCTAGGTGTGCAAACTCCGAACCGCTAAAGTTTGGTTTGGAGAACCGCTGTCAAAGTCGAACCAGGGCTGCCTGCACTGGGCCATAAATTGGGCACTGTCAAATTGGTTACACGATAATCCACAATGTAAGGAATTTTCCATTCCTTAGCGAGCGGTCCTGCTATCGCGTACGCTCGAACACACCTGAAGCCTCGGGACTGTTCCAGACCTTCTGACAGAACCGCCTCGGCTTTTCCAGACCTTTCGGTTCGACCTTCGGGAGCTCTCCAGGCCTCGCTTCGACACTTCGAGACCCTTCGATCTCCTTCCCGAACCTTCCCATCGCATGGTTAGACTAGCTCTGGTGTTCCTATATCTTGGCTTGCCATTCCTTGTATCGTCATTCATTGAGTGAACACTTCGTTATTCATTTCCGCGCTACTCTGCTTGTTCATTCATAACACCTGGTATTCAGAGCCACTTTCCTCGCTCACCCGTTTTCGTGAGTTGATTTTTTTTTGGGGGGGTTAGGTCCCTCACGTAAGCTGCAAAGCGGTTGCTCGCGAATTAGATTGATTAATTCGCCCAACTACGATAGCGTTTGCGCTTACCTGAGTACAGGCACACGACGGAATTCCCCCTGCCCCGGTGGAGCATTCGCCAAATGGACCAGGCTCAGTTCAACGAGCTTCGGGAGCAATTCAACGCCATGAACACGCGCATGGCTACAGTGCTGGAGGACAACGAGCGACTTCGTGCGGAAGTTGCTGAGTTACGCCAGGCGCGAGAGGATTCGCGTCAGAAAATTGCCGCCCAAGAGGAGGTCGCCAGCACCGGACGTGTCGAAACCGTTTTGGACGAAGTCGCACGTGAGGTGTCTCAGGAGCGCAAGGACAGTGAAGCCGCCGCAGCAGCTGACGTGGCAGCACGAGCAGCAGCCGAAGCAGCAGCAGCAGCAGCAGCAGCAGCAGCAGCCGCTCGGTCAGAAGCAGCCGCTACTGTAGCCGCACCGGCGTTTATGCCGATCGTGACGACAGCGACGATCAAACCGACAATGCCGCCCCCGTTCAACCCCACAGATAAGAATACTACTGTTACGGGCTGGTTATTTTCGGCGGAACTTTATTTTAATGCCGCTGGGATCACTGCTGACGAGTTAAAAATTCGACTGGCTGTATCACTACTACGGGGACCTGCGCTAGATTGGTGGCGATATACTCTACAGGAGGGGGAGTTTTCGGCAGGCGACACACAGGGGTTTTTCGGAAACTTTGGGTCTGCTGCCCAAGGGTCAACCGTGATTTTTGGATCGACCAAGATTCGCACGTGGAAGGCGTGGGGTACAGCTCTGCGTGAACGGTTCGAGCCAATATCTGCCTCGGACAACGCACGCACGAAGCTGGACAACTGGCGCCAGTGGAGTTCTGTCCAGGATTACGCGTCGGTCTTCATGGCGTTATGCGATCAAATCACCGACATGCATGACTCCGAGAAGAAAGCTCGATTCATTTCGGGTTTGAAACAGGACATTAAATGCGAGGTCTGACTGCGACTGCCGGCGACGTTTCACGAAGCCGTTCGGATCGCAGACAACTTCGACGCGCATCGGACGTATGCGAGAGCGGGTTCCTGGGAGGGAAATCGTTTTCGTGGTCAGAATCCACGGCCCACGATTCACGGCGTAGTGGCGAAGGAGCACATGGACGATTTTCGCAAGGGACAATGTTTCAACTGCCACCAGCCGGGTCACCAATCTCACGATTGCCTCCGAAAGAAGCAGATAAAGAAGAACGACGAAGACAGGTCGGGAAACGCCAAGCGTCAGTAGCGGTCGGGCCCCCTACTGACCCTGTCTCCTCGCCCAAAAAACAACATCTCCACCGAGTAGTGGTTCCGATACACGCTATCAACCGCTCCCGGCTGAAAAAGGAAGATGACCCAGTGGACCACCCTGTACTGGCGGAAGGACGACTTCATGGAAGAAAAATAAAAATATTCATCGACGGAGGTGCGAGTCACAGCCTGATAAATCGAGAGACAGCACGACGACTACACCTGACGCTGGAGCGGTGTCTACCCGAAATCGACGCGCGATTGGTGGACGGCACCCCGCTGGCGATACGCGACAGAGTCCCTGTCGTTCGAATGAAGTGTGGCGAAGATTTTGGTTTCAGCGCGCCGATGCTGGCGACAACGCTCGACGGCTACGACGTGCTATTGGGACGCGATTGGCTGCGACGATTCAACCCGCAGATCGATTGGACAACAGGCGAGTGCACAGTGAAGTGCGACAAAGGTTGGCGAAAATTACCAACGTGGCCGGAAGCGGAGTCAACGTCGACACGGGTCAACGCGGTGTGCCTCAACCGAGCGGTCAAGAATGGAGCAGATTTATACGCCGTCCATCTAACCAAATCGACGGAGCAGAACGAGGCGACCGACATCAACAAACTATGCGCTTCGGTCCCGGATGACTTGGAAAAAAATATTCGGGAATATCCTGAGATTTTCCCGGACGACTTGCCAAGTGGACCGCCACCTGAACGGCCCCAGGACCACAAGATCGAGCTGGAGTCTGGCGCGCAGCCTACTGTACGCACGCAATGGCGCCTGACTCAGCCGGAGTTACAGGAATTACGGAACCAGCTGGACTACCTGCTGGCGAAAGGGTTCATTCGGCCAAGCACGTCACCGTTCGCAGCACCGATCCTGTTTACACCAAAAAAGGACGGCGGACTTCGCATGTGTACGGATTATCGTGCCCTTAATCGGGTAACGATTAAATCGCGCTACCCAATCCCACGAACGGACGAACTGATCGACAACCTTCGCGGAGCTCGTTACTTTTCGAAGATCGACCTTCGTGGCGGTTACCATCAAATTCGAGTGTTCGCTGACGACTGCCACAAGACCGCGTTTCGTACTCGCTATGGGAGTTACGAATACACGGTGATGCCGTTTGGATTAACGAACGCCCCCTCGACGTTTCAACTCACCATGAATGGGGTGTTCCGCGATCTACTCGACAAATGCGTGATAATCTACTTGGACGACATTTTGATCTACAGCAAGACCCGGGAGCAGCATTTAAAGGACTTGGAAGCGGTTTTTCAGCGACTGCAACGGAATCCTCTCATCACCAAGGGCTCCAAGTGCGAGTTTTTAAAACAAGAACTGGAGTTCCTTGGACACGTGATCTCCACGGAAGGGATTCGAATAGACCCGAAAAAACTCCGGGCTATTCAGGAGTGGAAACCGCCCACAAATCTGCAGCAGCTGCAATCATTTTTGGGTTTCGTGAATTACGTGCGGAGGTTTATACCCAACATGGCGGGGTTAACTGGACTTTTAACCGACCTCCTGCAGAAGGGGACTTTTTACGAGTGGGGGGAGAAGCAGCAAGCTGCGTTCGAGGCATTAAAAAATCTTTTAATGTCGCCACCGGTACTTCGCATCGCTGACCCAGAACGGCCCTTCGAAGTCATCACCGACGCAAGTGACATCGCCATCGGAGCAGTGCTCATGCAGGATTTCGGCAACGGACTTCAACCAATTGCGTACGAGTCTCGGAAAATGCAATCTGCTGAGCGCAACTACCCGGTACACGACAAGGAGATGCTGGCGATCGTCCACGCGTTCAAAATCTGGAGGTGCTACCTGACTGGAGCAGACGTGACGGTGCGAACCGATCACAAATCACTACAGTACCTGAGGGCGCAGCCGAATCTCAACCCGCGGCAGATACGCTGGCTGGACTACCTGGAGTCGAATTTCACGTACAAGATCACGTATAAAAAGGGCGCCAACAATATTGCCGACGCCCTTTCCAGACCATCTGCCCAACTCGCAGCAGTACTAGTCGCCCAGAGCAACCCGCTACTGAGTGGACTATTTACCCACGGGTATTCGATTGACCCCTTCTTCGTAAACGATGGCCATCTCCCAATCACTACGCGGAAAGGCGTCTATTACTTACGAAGCGGGACTGATCGAATTTGGGTCCCAAGTTATCGTCTACTTCGCGAATTACTAATTCAAGAAGTCCACGATTCGAATTTATCGGGACATTTCGGGGTTGATAAAACTCTGAAGGCATTGCAGCGGTTTTATTACTGGCCAGATATGGTGACGGACGTGCAGCGTTACGTGGCCGCGTGTCCGATCTGCCAGCGAATGAAATCGTCACACCAGCGGCCCACAGGACTATTGCAGCCCCTCGAGCCACCTCAACGCCCATGGCAACACGTAACGATGGATTTCGTTACGGGACTACCGGCCGGACCCAGCGGAAACGACGCGGTTTTGGTTGTCGTCGACCGATTGACGAAAATGGCGCATTTCGCACCATGTCGTACAACCATCACAGCCGAAGAAACAGCGCGCCTGTTCATCTCGACCGTCGTTCGCCTACACGGGATACCAGCAGCAATCATTAGCGATCGAGATCCGAAGTTCACGTCAAAATTCTGGCAGGACACGTGGGCTCGGTACGGCACGCGTCTACAGTTCTCATCCGCGTATCACCCACAAACGGACGGCCAGACGGAAAGGACAAACCAAACGATGGAGCAGCTGATTCGGACAAACTGCCCCGACCGAAACAAATGGGAGGACGTGCTGCCCATGTTAGAATTTTCCTACAACAACGCACCCTCGGCTACGACTAATCACTCCCCGTTTTACCTCAATTACGGGATGGACCCTACAGTGCCGATCTCCACCAACGTTGAGAGTCAAGTACCACGATCGCAGCAGTTCGTCGAAGAACTACAGACTGCCCGAGACAAAGCTATCGAACTTATTCGCAAGGCGAACGCAACTGC